AAAATAGCTTATTTTTGCATGAATTAACATAGCTTTAGAGGAGTCTAACCATTTTTAGGCGTTATTTCTCATTTTTGTTAAAATGAAACCTACTTCTTGTCAAACTGGACGGAAGACCTACTCGTTGCTTTGCAACGAGCTTTGCTCTAGTTATTATTATTTTTCTTCTTCCTGGGAAAATCTTTTCCGCGAATGATCTTGTAAACTACACATCCGACTTAGGTGAAACCTTTTTAGGGTCAGTAGGCATGTTATGTAGATTTGCGGAACGAAGGTCATTTTGCGTGCACGTGCTTGCAAGAGCGTGCACGTGCAACACGTGAAATGACCAATATAATGGATATAGCCGAATCTTTTCTCTTTTGATGAAATGTTTTGAAACTCATAATATAAGGATATATTAGTAGTATAGACAATATGACATGGTCAAAATAGCAAGATCTCACGCGCATGCACGTGCGCTTCGCTCTGATTGGCTGAAACTAAAGTCTCAATATCTTTCTTGTTTTTTGATGAAATCCTTTGAAATTTTGAACATAGTCATGCAGTAGGATATCCTACAACATGACATATAGCAATTATCATGAAAACAGGTGCATGCACGTGAGCTGCAATCTGATTGGCTTAAACTTTAAATAGCTATAACTCCCTTGCTTTTAAACCAAACAGGATGGGATTTGGAACATAGATAGATATAATGGATTTCTACAAGCAGGTATCGTAACCATGCACATGCACGTGCGTGTACGTGCGCTGTAATCTGATTGGCTGAAACTTTAAACAGCTATAACTCCCTTGGTTTTCAACCAAACGGGGTGGGATTTAGAACATAGATAGATGTAATGGACTTCTACAAGAAGATATGGTCACCATGCTCATGTATGCATGTGCGTGCAAGTGAAAGAGTAAAATAAAAAATACACTTGAATGAGCGTATTTTTTGATACTTTGGGATTAAATACTTTAATATTTAGTATATTAAAATATATAGATTGTGTAGACAAGATGATACGGTCATTATGCACATGCATTCACATGCGCACGCGTGCAATGCTAAAATTTGAATGAACTTGGCGTTGTTAAAGTCTCAAATGCATAGATTTTGTCCTATTTAATGAAGCTTACAGGGAATATGGCACCAAAAGGGAGTTGGGGAGCGTTTGGGGAACATCTGTAACGGTCCCCGTTACAATTAGCACTAGTTACAAATAATTTACAGTTTTTGTTAAGGTAGATGCTTTAATCAATCTGCCAAGCACCTTTGTATTGACCACACTAGTGAACCAGAAGGAACACACATTGCTGGGATCGCATGTTGTATACATGTATTATTTTGCATCCCCCTTACATGCTAAAATTTACTCCAGTTGACTTAAAACATTTTTTTTCAATCTTCAATTATATGTATTACCAAAATATTTCTTTACAATTTGAAGTCGGTAGCGGCATATCTATGCATGCCAGATTTCGGTACCATTTACTAAATAATTTTAAAATGATTTAAGATAATAGAACATAGTGGTAGTTTATGTGGAGCGGAGCGGATCAGAAACTCTTGACTTGGGAAGATGGTTGTAAGAAGACTTTGGATACTCTGGGGAATTACTGGTTAGAACTTTGCTTGGCTGCCACAGTAGCCAGGCTGGCTTGGGATGGAGAAGCTGAAAGGGTCTAGTTGGAGGCTGCTTAATTGTCCTTAATAATCTATTGATTCTAATATACAAAATTAAACAAATCATATATGTTGCAGATGTAATCATTGTTTCAATATTAAATGAGTATTCATGAAATGTTTAAATTCTGTCAGCAGTTGTACCACTGTAATCATTTGTACAGATAATTCCGATAATTTACTAATTGTGCACTTAAATGAATGCATTATATACTGATGTGTCTAAATATTTGGGGAAAGTTTGAAAATGTAAAAACTGGAATTTGAAATGTTAAACTGTGATTTATTAATTTTAATTTGTGATTTGTTTTGTAAAATAGTAATTTGAAAATGTTTGTGAATGCCTGATTTCATTGACAAGTTTTGTGCAAAAAAAATATTTTATTAAACTCTTTCAAAAATGGTGTGATCATACCCAAAACGTACTAGTATCTTGACCTAGATATTCATCTGACTATTTTGTATACTAAATTCCATTTCAATATGTGCAACCTCTCAAAAGAAAATGAACGGAAACTGCAAATAATTGGAATATTTCTAAGTCGAAGGGGCATAGTTCTGTCAATCATGGTGCGATTGTACCAAAAACAGAACTTGACCTAGATATTCATCTGACTAATCTGTATACTAAATTCCATTTCAATATGTGCAACCTCTACATAGACAAGAGGCCCATGGGCCACATTGCTCACCTGCGCACTGTGGCTAGGAAAAAGTAGAAATTGGTTTATTATTGAAAAGTTTAAATCTAAAAGTAGTCCCATGACCAATCATGGCTTTGCTATTCTTGAGAAGAAATTTTTAAAAATGTTCCTATATATTTCTATGCAAAAATTTGGTTGGCCGTTTTGGCCCCGCCCTACCCCTGGGGGTCATGATTTGAACAAACATGAATCTACACTACCTTAGGATGCTTCCATATTAATATGATCAATTTTAGCTTTGCTTTTCTTGAGAAGAAGATTTTTTAAAGAATTTTTCTATATAGTTCTATGTAAAACTTTGTTTGGCCATTTTGCCCGGCCCCCCCGACCCCCCGGGATCATGATTTCAACAATCTTGAATCTAGGATGCTTCCATATAAGTTTCAGCTTTCCTGGCACAGTGGTTCTTGAGAAGAAGATTTTTAAAGAATTTTCCTACATATTTCTATGTAAAACTTTAGTCGGCCATTTTGGCCCCGTCCTACCCCAGGGGGTCATGATTTGAACAAACTTGAATCTACACTACCTGAGGATGCTTCCATATAGGTTTCAGCTTTCCTGGCACAGTGGTTCTTGAGAAGAAGATTTTTAAAGAATTTTCCAATATATTACTATGTAAAACTTTAGTCGGCCATTGTGGCCCCGCCCTACCCCCGGGGGTCATGATTTGAACAAACTTGAATCTACACTACCTGAGGATGCTTCCATATAAGTTTCAGATTTCCTGGCACAGTGGTTCTTGAGAAGATTTTTAAAGAATTTTCCAATATATTACTATGTAAAACTTTAGTCGGCCATTGTGGCCCCGCCCTACCCCCGGGAGTCATGATTTGAACAAACTTGAATCAACACTACCTGAGGATGCTTCCATATAAGTTTAAGCTTTTCTGGCACAGTGGTTCTTGAGAAGAAGATTTTTAAAACATACCACCAAATTCTTATTAATTCCCAATTATCTCCCCTTGAATGAGGGCGTGGCCCTTCATTTGAACAAAGTTGAATCCCCTACACCCAAGGATGCTTTGTGGCAAGTTTGGTTGAAATTGGCCCAGCGGTTCTTGAGAAGAAGTCGAAAATGTGAAAAGTTTACAACGACGACAACGCCGACAACGACAGACAACGGACAAATTGTGATCAGAAAAGCTCACTTGAGCCTTTGGCTCAGGTGAGCTAAAAATGAGTGGAAATCGCAAATAATTGGAATTTTCTAAGTCCAAGGGGCATAACTCTGTCAATTATGGTGCGATCCTACCCAAAACAGAATTTGACCTAGATATCCATCTGACTAATATGTATACTGAATTCCATTTCAATATGTGCAACCTCTACGTAGAAAATGAGTGGAAATTGCAAATAATTGGAATTTTCTAAGTCCAAGGAGCATACTCTGTCAATTATGGTGCGATCCTACCCAAAACAGAATTTGACCTAGATATCCATCTGACTAATCTGTATACTAAATTCCATTTCAATATGTGCAACCTCTCAAAAGAAAATGAACGGAAACTGCAAATAATTGGAATTTTTCTAAGTCCAAGGGGCATAACTCTGTCAATTATGGTGCGATCGAACCCAAAACAGAACGTGACCTAGATATTCATCTGATGTACCTGTATACCAAATTTCATTTCAGTATGTGCAGGCAACGGTTGTGAAGAAAATGTACGGAAACTAAATGGACCGACAGACCGACCGACCGACAGCAGCAAAGCAATATGCCCTCCCTTCTTCGAAGGGGGGCATAAATAGCTGGATCCTAGTCCCATATGGCAATGATTTTAACAAACTTGAATATACATTGGTACACTGTATAAAAAAGCTCTCATATAAAATTTTGACAAGTTTTCATATGACCTTTCCCTTTCTGAAGTGAATTACAAGATATATATAATTATTAGGTGAATGATAACAAAATGTTCTCAAAATCACCAATTTTACTCTAAAATTAGTGGTAGAAATAAAACATTATTGTGACCCAAGTCCACTCATGGAGTTCACAATTTAAAAAAATACTTTTATACCTGCATGCCCGTCACTCTGAAAATGTGTAACTATCTATCTTACTTTTGCTCAGGTAATCCCAAATGATCTCAATGTTTGTGATATTGTAATGATTTAAGGAATAACTGTCTGATTTTTTTTCATGATGTGTTCAATCGATTGGTTGCGTGATAATTTGCATAAATGCCAAAGGTGTTTATGCATAAAATTGATTGATCATCGCCATGAAATCAAAAACTCTGAAAGTTCTTCCTTATTACTGTAAATCGTTTTAATTCCACGGTGTTAAAATTTCACAATTTCTCAAAAAGTTCCAATCGTGATGGTTTTAATTTCACACTGTAAGAAAATTTCTTACAATACATGTAATTTAAAGGTTTTTAAAGCTAATGATAGCATTCACGATGGGTTTATATTCACGGAAAAATGATGAATCATGAACATAGCGAAATTAAAACCATCATAATTATTTGCCAATGTACAGTATGTTCTCGATTCCGCAAATACACATGCTCTAAGCCACACTTCTGTCTCTATTTTCCTGCACTGCATGTGATTTTTTAAAATTCCCCTACGATATCGATGAACCAGTAGATTTATGTAGAAATAAAATAAATTTATTTAGTATTTGTAATTTTATATTGGACAAAGACATTGGAAATTTAAATAATATTAATTCACATGTAGAAATGTTATGATTTCAAAAATTACAAGCAAATATATTTCATGTTTTGTCATGCTCACTTCATTTTTCACACACATCTCATATGAAAAGACATAAACATCAAGTAATTGCGTATAAAATACACAAACTAAACCACTTTCCCCCATTCTGTTGCACTAGTACTCACATTATAAATGATCACAGACAATGCAAAAGGTTTTGTAATAATGGTTTCCATTTGATATCATAATCAAGCTAATGGTTCTTGTATTTAAATAGCACTCGACTCTCTTCACTCAAATTTTTGTAATGTAGATTATATAGTGGTAACATGGTTCAGACTTCAATTTTTTTTTTAAAGTTCACTCTAGAAAATTTTCTCACTTGCACCAAAAAATGCATACTTAATAAAGCATATACAACTATGCAACTTTGAGATCCTCTGAAATCACTGTATGAATGGATACTTTGTCCTGATGTCAATTGCTTTTGGATTGGTTTGTGTATGGTAACAAGTCTTTTGCTGGGAAACCATGTAGCACTAACAAGAGTATTACCATAGCAACAAAGGGAGCTAACAACAACCACTGAAGATCCTCCATTATCAGTTTGTTAAATCTAAAAAAATAAAAAGATAAAGAGAAAAAATAATAAATACTGGAGATTCTGACATATTTTTATATGTAGTATGGTAAAGATCAAGTAGATACTGTCTATAGATATCTAATATTCTAACTAGTGTTGGCAAATCGGACGATTTTTATTAACCGGTTACTCGCTTAATCTTCCGATCGAGTACCCGGTTACTCGGATGATTTTATGTTATAGTTTCCGTATTTATTTAATCTCATCCTTTTAATTATTGGTAGGAATAAACAACAAATGTAAGATATTTGAACTTTATTTACAAATACAAACTCAAAAAAAAAAATCGTTGAGTCTTCTGTAAGTCGCTGGTTATCGAATTAAGTTTCAATCTAAAATCATTTAGCATATTTCTAGTTCCACTCGTATACTACAAATCCGATTTAAATAATTTGAATTTGGCAGATTTCGCGTTCTATAACAATATTTCCACGCTCTTGATAAAAGCGGCGGCATCTTCTTCATGTACAGTATATGTTACTCTAACACAGGTCTATTAAAATTAGGTAATTATAACTCAGGTTTTCAAAACGCGTATCCCCTGGCAAATAAAGCCATCAATTAAACAAAACAAAACAAAACAAATCGATCCTATTTGTGAACCACAACAGCAAGCTTAACGGTAATTAAATTACGGAAACATGTCAATTAAATTTACAAATGACATAAAAATAATTTTATATTATGAAAAATGTATTTTTATCCGAGTAACCGAATAGCAGTTTTACTAACCGATACTCGCATCGTTCGACGGTTAACCGGTTAACCGGGTACTCGTTGCCAACACTAATTCTAACCCTACATTCTTTTTCCATAACAGAATCAAAATTTTGCTGGTTCATTTTTTAATTTAGAATGTTTTCAAGTCTTACAAAAATGTTTGAGGCTGGATGATTCTGAATTATTACAAGAGTTACTTGAAAGTGCAAATTTTCCAAAATAATATAAAACAAGAGGCCCAGGGGCCACAGCGCTCACCTGAGCACATCAGGCTTGAATTTACTCCCCCCCCCCCCTCCAGGCGTTCATCATTTGAACAAACTAGAATCTACACTACCTGAGGATGATTCCATATAAATATCACTAATCATAGCTTTGAAGTACTTGTAAAGAAGATTTTAAAAGGTTTCCCTATATATCCCTATGTAAAACTTGGGTCGGCCATTTTGGCCCCACCCTAGCCCCGGGGGTCATGATTTGAACAAACTTGAATCTACACTACCTGAGGATGATTCCACATGAGTTTCATCTTTCCTGGCCCAGTGGTTCTGGAGAAGAAGATTTTTAAAGATTTTTCCTATATATCCCTATGTAAAACTTGGGTCGGCCATTTTGGCCCCACCCTAGCCCCAGGGGGTCATGATTTGAACAAACTTGAATCTGCACTTCCTGAGGCTGATTCCACATGAGTTTTATCTTTCCTGACCCAGTGGTTCTGGAGAAGATTTTTATAGATTTTTCCCATGTATTCCTATGTAAAACTTGGGTCGGCCATTTTGGCCCCACCCTTGCCCCAGGGGTCATGATTTGAACAAACTTGAATCTACACTACCTGAGGATGATTCCACATGAGTTTCATCTTTCCTGGCCCAGTGGTTCTGGAGAAGAAGATTTTTAAAGATTTTTCCTATATATCCCTATGTAAAACTTGGGTCGGCCATTTTGGCCCCACCCTTGCCCCGGGGGGTCATTATTTGAACAAATTTAAATCTGCTCTACCTGAGGATGATTCCACATGAGTTTCATCTTTCCTGGCCCAGTGGTTATGGAGAAGAAGATTTTTAAAGATTTTTCCTATATATTCCTATGTAAAACTTGGGTCGGCCATTTTGGCCCCACCCTTGCCCCGGGGGTCATGATTTGAACAAACTTGAATCCACACTACCTGAGGATGCTTCCAAATGAGTTTCATCTTTCCTGGCCCAGTGGTACTGGAGAAGAAGATTTTTAAAGATTTTTCCTATATATTCCTATGTAAAACTTGGGTCGGCCATTTTGGCCCCACCCTTGCCCTGGGGGTCATGACTTGAAGAAACTTGAATCTACACTACCTGAGGTTGCTTCCACATGAGTTTCATCTTTCCTGGCCCAGCGGTTCTGGAGAAGAAGATTTTTTAAAAAATGCCATTAATTTTTAACAAATTCATGATTATCTCCCCTTGGAAAAGGGCGTGGCCCTTCATTTGAACAAACTTGAATCCCCTTCACCCAAGGATACTTTGTGTCAAGTTTGGTTGAAATTGGCCCAGTGGTTCTGGAGAAGAAGATGAAAATGTGAAAAGTTTACGACTACAACAACGACAACGACAACAACGACAGACAACGGACAAATTTTGATCAGAAAAGCTCACTTGAGCCTTCGGCTCAGGTGAGCTAAAAATTAATTTTGTAAAGTAAAGAAAAATCTTATGACATATCAGTTGATTTAGAACAGAAGATCTTTAACAAAGGAAAACAACTTAGCAAAAGAAAGCTCTCTTTTCTTTCTCAAAACACCCTGGTTAAAACTAAAAATGTTTAACTACATTGTTACAATATACCTAATTGAGAATCTGTCCTCAAATATTTGTCCATACTGATTGGTTAATCTCACAGTCACATGACCATGACTTGGCTCTTCTCCAGCTGGCACATATAGATAATACTTCTTAGGCTCTGGAAATTCTCCATTCATCAATAGGCGATTTCCATAATATATCTGAAATTATAAGACATAGATAATTTCTTTCAATACAAAACAGAAATGAAGATTTTAAACAGAAATTTAGAAGACAGTGCAGAAGGTTTAAGGAGTTGTTTGTGTGTGTGTAGGGGGGAAGTAAACTTTTCTAATCTAGATGTTGTTTATTCTGAAATCTTGTCAAACGCAGTGTTACCTGAAAGTTCCTTTCAGTAAATTCATTTGTTAACAAGAGGTCCATGGGTCACAACACTCATCTAAGTAACTATGGCCTTGCTGTTCCTCACCAGATTTTTCCCCTTGTAATACCTATTGTGCCCCCATCCATGTCATAATTTGAACAATTTAGAATTTACGATATTCCAGAATACTTCCCCATAAGTTTCAACATTTCTGGCCCAGTGGTTCTTGTGATGAAGATTTTAAAAGAATTTTTCTATATATTTCAATGTAAAAATAGATTCCATTTTGTGGCCGCACCAAATCTCCAGGGGTCATGATTTAAACAATTAGAATCCACATTATCCAAGGATGATTCCACATAAGTTTCACCTTTTCTGACCTGGTGAAACTTGAGATTTTTTAATGATACCACCCTATTTTTGCCTTTTCTTCAGTATCTCCTCTTACAAAGGGGGGGGGGCTTCATTTTAAGAATTCAAACATCCTTTCACCCGAGGTGCTTTGCAACAACTTTGGTTAAAATGAGCCCAGTAGTTCTTGAGAAGAAGTTTAAAATGTTAAAATTTTGCAGAGAGACGTACAATGAATGATCAGAAAAGCTCAGGTGAGCTACAGAAAAGCTCAGGTGAGCTAAAGATATGGTCTTATCCAGAATTTTGTCTTATCTGTCTAGTTTCTGTGGAACCAATGGTCTAGCTTGGTCCTTGGTACTATATACAGGTAATCAATTTTTCCCTCAATCCCAGTCAATATTTGCATGGTGTAAGCAACTACTTACAGAGATAAAATACTTGGATGTGCCCGGTTTGAATGCTGGGTCAATGATTTCAAACTCCACAGGAAATGTCTCTCCTGTCACCTCTAGCTGCTTTCTAGTGAACAATGTCACATACACTCCTGGCTATTAAAGATAAATGTATTTGTTATCTCAGAATTCATTTCCTACAGCTCCCATTCAAATGTAACATTGTGCAAATAGTTTACTTTTTCACGATTTATTTCATGAGAATTCCTTGGTTAAATATGACATGCATATCCAAACTGGAACATTTTAAAAATCTTTAATTTATGTTGACGATGTGCAAGTATTGATACTCTTCTGCTCAAAACATACCTTTTTCTCTGAAAAGGAGAAGTCGTTTACTGTCTTAGTTTCAGATGACAATGACCACATATGGTTCGTCCTTAACGCCTCGTCAGTGCTCTCCTGGATCTCTGCTTGTTCAGGCCCCGTTGCTAAGCACATCACAGTGCCATCACTAGTGGCAACCAGTAGCTCCATCCCAGAGAACCATTTTACTAGGTCATGTGACAAAACCTGGACCAATGAGGTTTCACCAATAGGAATCTGGGATTTACATTTCAGATCCATGGATATCAGGTGGATTGATCCATCATCTGCTACTACCACCTTCCAAAAGAGAAGACTAATAGAACATTTTTTTCAAATATGAAAAAGTAGCAATAAATCAATTAAGCTTCACATATATTTACTAAAACATATACAGACATCTGGAAAAAAAATAAAGCCAAAAGGAGTATATGTAATATTCAATGAGTAAAGCTCCCTACAATATTGTAAATTTATAACTTCACTAAAAAGAGTTGTAATAAGAATGGTTACTATTGGAAACTCTTGTAATTGTTTGTGAATTGTATGTCACACTGTATGTGAAAAAGTATAGAGATGTAAGAGTATTGAATTGATAACTAGGTCTGAATTGGTGAAGACTTTTGTGTTATGTGAGATAGAGACATTGCGAGTTTTTTGAGATAAGGGCATTATGATTTTTTTTCGATATGGACTTTGCGAGTTACTTATCATGTATGGAGTGGTCTGAGTGGTGAAGACTTTTGTTTTTTGTGAAATAGAGACATTGGGAATTATTTACCTTGTCTGTAGTGATATGATTGATGAAGACTGGTGTTTTGTGAGACTGTGAGATAGAGACATTGTGCCTTTTTTTGAGAGATAGACATTGTGTTTTTTTTTTTGAGATAAGGACTTTGTAAGTTACTTACCATATCTGGAGTGGTATATGTGGTGGAAACTGGGTGTTTTGTGAGATTGATACATTGTGAGAATTCTGAGATAGAGACATTGTGAGTTTTTTGAGATAGAGACATTGTGAGAATTCTGAGATAGAGACATTGTGAGTTTTTTGAGATAGAAACTTTGAGAGTTTTTTGAGATAGAGACTTTGTGAGTTACTAACCATGTCTGGAGTGGTATGAGTGGTAGAAACTTGGTGTTTTGTGAGATTGAGACATTGTGAGAATTCTGAGATAGAGACATTGTGAGTGTTTGAGATAGAGACATTGTGAGTTTTTTGAGATAGAGACATTGTGAGTTTTTTGAGATAGAGATATTGTGAGAATTCTGAGATAGAGACATTGTGAGTTACTTACCATGTCTGGAGTGGTATGAGTGGTAGAAACTTGGTGTTTTATGAGATTGAGACATTGTGAGAATTCTGAGATAGAGACATTGTGAGTTTTTGAGATAGAGACATTGTGAGTTTTTTGAGATAGAGATATTGTGAGAATTCTGAGATAGAGACATTGTGAGTTACTTACCATGTCTGGAGTGGTATGAGTGGTAGAGACTCGAGAGATAAGGACATTGGCTGTGATCCGGGCACCAACAGAGATAGGCCAGCCATCTAGCTGTTTACCATCTAAACCACTTAATGCATGGATATACCTAAATATTATAAAGATTATACCTCAGTATAGCTTCCTGGATGTAGAGAGCATTGTTATCTCTATGGTTGGAAAAATCCTGCAATTTTATGCTTTGTGGGGGAATACTAAACTATATGAGATACAATGACCTTATAGAAACTAGTAATTAAACAGTTTATAAATAAGAAATCTTGTTTCTTTTCCCGAAGTGTATATTGGTATTTTGCATGAAATTAAACTCACAGTGAATATGGTTATAAAATCCCACAATAAAGCATCTGTTACAAGGCACATAAAATTAAAACCATTGCCATTGGTACCATTGTAACAAATCATGAAAAGACTAGCAGTACATGTATCACCAATGAAAAACAAAGAAAGTAAACCAACCCATCATTTGTTGTGATGATGAGATCCAGGACCCCGTCTCCTGTGACGTCGTACAGGCGGCTCCCTGGGGATGAGGTACCGCTGATGGTCGACTCCCACAACTTGACCCCCTCCTTGTTATAAGAGATAACATTGGCACTGGTGTCTATAGTTATCAACCTCACCGAACCATCTCCAGCCAAGTCTGCTGCTGTTATCTAAATAAACAAGTTTTAATTTAATATTTGAATCCATGTTTTTTCTTCCAATAAAAAACAACAATTTTTTAAAAAGAGTTGTGAATTGCTTCTGAAGAGTTTAACATATTACTATGATTGTTATTCAACAAATTTAAAAAAAAGAAACTTGACAAACTTCCAATGCATATAATATCTGGTAATATATAATACCCTATTACAATTAACGGAGGAAAAATCCAGTAAAATTTAAGGGGAAAGTCTAAGAACCTAAAGGTACAGAGAGTATTCAATTTGACCTATAATCTGACGATATACATGTGAATCAGTCTTTACTTACCTGTCCATGTATGGTATTTTGACTAACAGGCCAGCCTGTCCTTAAGGAGCCATCATGATTGAATGCAAAAAGGCTCCCAGCAGATGTACCGACAACGACCTCTAGTTGACCTCCCTTCACATCAAGGTCAATCACAGTGGGAGAGAAGATGTTGTAAGCAGGGAATGTTGCATCAACCTGGAATGAATGTTTGAATACATTATAAACTGCTTTTAGTTTTTCTTTTTGTGAGGGGGTTCAAGGTTATCTTCAAAAATGTTTTTTTTTTTTCATTCAAATATGCTTGTCATCCACACGGTGCAGTGGTTAGAGCATTTGCTCTGGAGCCACAAAGTAAGGAGTTCATCCTTAGGTCGCAGGTTTTAATCCCACTGTAAGATATGGAGACAGGTCTAGCTGCAGAACTGTAGCTCTCCGAAAAAAAAATGTATTGACAGAACGGACAGCTACAGTGCCACCCATTGAAAAAATTGTATATTTTTTCAATGGGTGGCACTATAGCTCTGTGGGCTGTCAATATATTTTTTTTTTTCGGAGAGCTACAGTTCTGCAGCTGACACCATATACAGTAAGATCTCGTGTTGCACAGTGGCTGGCACTATGGCTCAATGGATCTGAGTGCCAAGTAAAGGTATAAATTTGCAGCCCTAGTGGTTCCATCTCCATATATGTAAAAATTTGTTGAGAGGGATGTTAAACAAACAAAAATGTAAAACACTTTATATCTGCCTTATATGAAAGAGAATATCAAAGTGAAATAAAGTGCCGCGCCACAGCATGATACGCCCATCAAAAAATTACAATTTTCTTGAACAGTTTAGGTGCAAGAAAATCACATCAACCTTGATGCTAAGATTTCGATGATTTTTCCATTCCTTAAAATATTTATCCATCCCCTGTGATGTACGCATCAATTATAATAAATATTACATCACTGATAGATTTCTGTGCTGGTTGTGTTAGACCTTGTCAAATGCCCATCATCAAATTAGTCTTAACAACTTAATCTATACCAAATTAATTTTGAAAAGAAAAGGCTGGCCATCAAATGACATATGTTATAAACTGACCAGCAGTTCTTCTGTCTAATCCCCAAAGGGCACAGATAAGGTCACTGCTTAATTAGAGTGACTGAGACAGCTAGCCTTCCTACATTGAACTCATTAATTAATCTTTAACTGGATGCTTGTCTACTTATTACTACCAAGAGATGAATGGGTCTGCACTATCTACTATAAATTTAATAAAATACTCAAAGATTTTTTGGGGGGTTGAGATTTAATGTCCGACAAGTTTTAATATGTAATTCATATGGACATGCTGATTCCACCCCACCCCAAAAAATTAGTTTTTAAATTAATAATATTACATAATATCAGATTAGTCTATTATGCAATATCAAATTAGTTTTAATTACTTTTCATCAAATTCATTTTAAAACTTAAGCTAGTCAACAAGAGCTATTTTTAATCAAACAGGCTTACCCATTTGCACAATACTCAAGGGATATAGATAACACCAATGCTAGCTCCTCGCACTCAAAACCCATTAATTTCTCTCTAATTTGACATGCAATTTTCTGTTATCAAAATTCTTCTTGACCAGTGCTTGATAATTACACTCATGGGAGAGGCAGGATTTCTCTGACATACATTATATTTGTTATAGATTGCTGTCAAGTATATGCTTAAAAAAAATAAGTATTTTCTTGATTTAAAACTTTTTTAATAAGAACAGTGCAATACTCTTACATTATTTGGGATGTGTAAATGAATAGTAAAAAGACACATTTTTTTTTTTAAAAATTCACTTAAATTAAAGGTCACAGTGACCTTGAAATAGGTAGCGACACACCTTCTACCTAAGATGCATAAACTGGCCAAGTTTGATGATTGTAGGTCTTATGGTTTTCTAGTTATGGGCCGGAAAGGATTTTTCCATATTTGGTTATAACTTCTTAAATAAAGGTCAGAGCGACCTACTTTTTGTGTGCGACACACCTTCTACCCAAGATGCATCAGATGACAAAGTTTGATAATCCTAGGCCTAGTAGTATTAAAGTTATGAGCCGGAAACGAAAAAGCTAACAGACAGACGGACAGACGGACGGACACAAAGCCTATAACATAATACGTCCCGTCTTAAGACGGGCATATAAAAATAAAATAGATGTTAACAGAAATCCTTATCATCTGTAATCTTGAAAAAGAAAATTTAATTGTCAATAAAAAAAATGAATTAAATTCCTTCTATTACCTGTGTGAGGTCTAGGAGAGTGTTCCACAAGGTCTCTCCAGTGGTTAAATTCATCACAGTTACCCCAGCCACTAGATACTTGTCAATATCAGTGAAGTTCAGACCACCTAGTTTCTCTAACTTTTCATTCACCCTGTAGTCATCCTCCTCATAGAAATAAGACACCGGGATCACTAGTTCTTCTACTCTGTTGTCATTGTTAATATCTGCCAGAACAGGTGTGGCCAAAACATGAGGATCAATTGGTAGATAATTGCTGTCCTGAAATGAAACAAATTTATTAGTATTTGATTCGATAAGATAGTTTTTAGTTCAAAACTATGAACAAAAATAAAGAACTACTTTAAGCTGTTTTGATTTTTTTAAGTTCCTTCAAAAAAAAAAAAACATATGCACCTTTTGTTGGGTTAGTGAGGTATATTTCTTCATATCTTCAAATTTGACAATGAGTTCTAATTTATACCAATCAGCTGCTACATACACCGGGGGAAGCTGGGGAAAAATTATTACATTCAAAATTCATGTATAGGCTGCATACAAAGTACACTTATATCAAAATATGAAGTTCATCTATTGATATTATTTCTTGACAAAAGAGACACATGCATTACCTGTATTCATAACTACAGTAAAATTCGGTTATAGCAAAGTCCTGGGGACTGAATTTAATTTGCTATATCTGTAATTCGTTATATCTGTATAAAGAATTCGTATAACCATATATGGCGACTTTGCAATATGCATGTTTCCCTTCACATATTACTACCAAATATGTGAGGGAAGCAAATATTACAAAACATACCTTCAATAACTAAGATTTATTATGAATTGAATTTTATATATACAAATGCCGTTTGAAAATAAAATCACTTCAATTTATCAAATTTTCAGATCTTAAAAAGTTCGTTATAAAAGGTGTAAATTTCATTGTAATTAACCACAAAGGAACTCAAAATCAGTTCACTATATCTGTAAATTCGTTAAATCAGAGTTCGTTGTAACCATGAAATTTTACAAAGATTTGTTAAAAATTTTGCCAGGGACCCAGAAAAACTTCGCTATATCTGTGTTCGTACTAAACGAGTTTTACTGCATCTTTTTATAAATACATATTGCTCATATGAATTATTTTTTTTATGTAATTGTGAATGTTGAATGCCTAGGTAAAAAAACCCATTTACATTGCCTCTTAATTTGTACACATATTTAGACTTACCTGAATTGTTTTATTTCTTAACAAGTGTCCACTAGGTGAATAAAATCTCAGTTCAGCTGAGGACATTATAAAGAGAATGTCTAACTGTCCATCGTTGTCAACATCAAACTAAAATGTATGAAATGACAGAGAATTTTAAAAACAATGTACTACTCTTGACATGTACAAACAGACATACTATTGTAATGTAGGGAAAAGTTTGTAAAATTGACAAACACATGTCAAATGTTGTACCTCTTTAATGTGCACAATCTACAATATTTGGTGATGCTTTGCTTATTTGCATAACATAAACATTACAATATATATATATTGTGTCACTGCTTTTTTTTTTAATATACTTTTTTAACTATTGTGTAACTGCTTTTTCTTTTACTTTAACGTTAAAGAAAATTCCTTTTCTAAAAGGATTGCATTACTATGTTAGACTTTGATCCCCAGGCCCTTCGCATTCCCATTTTATCCCAACTGACCAGGATTAAAACAAATGTTAATATGATGTCAAGTTTTGTACCAAGTAATATGTGCCCCCACTAAAATTTGCTTAAAAAGATGCTAAAAAGGTACATATTATTAAAAAGATGCTTAAATAAATAAAAGGTGCATAATACAAATACAGTAACACACACAATGTTACAGCATCTGCAAACAAATAACAAAGAAATTTACCTGAATTGGACTGGCATGAACAGAATTATCCAAGTTCAGTGCTGGCCATGCAGTTTTCTTCAATATCTTGCCAGTTTCTGAATTTAATACAGAAAAGCTCTCACTAAATGGAGCAGCCACAATATCCAGGATTTCATCATCATTTACGTGGGTTAAAAGGGGAGCTGCAGCAAATGGTGCATGAGCAAGCTCAGCTGTCCAAAGTGTCTTCAATTCATAACCACATCTGAAACGATGATATAGAAAGTAAACCAATGAAAACATTTCAATCATCTTGAAATTTAAGACAAAATAATCTTGCTTAAACAAGGAGAGATAAAGAATCAAGGGTTTGCAGATCTGATTAACAAGTACAAAACATGCTACCTAATTTAAAGATTTCAAATAATTTCTCTTCATACTGATTCAAAAATTATTCAATAATCATCTGAGACTATTTGCCTGAATAAACAATGTTTAGACTGAAACATCGAACCAAACATTTGATCACCTATGATAATTTATCTGTTATCACACTTTGAATTTTCTCAAAAATCCTAGGAAAAGCTTTAATATTATATAAATAGCAAGAATATTATTGAAAACAGTATGTTATAGCAAGCGCAGCATTGAGCAAGTGGCGCAAGGTGCAACCTGTTACCAGTCTAGACGAACTCCAAAAACGGCGTTAACGGAAGTGAGAATTTTAGTCCAGAAAAGACTCAAAAAAACGAGTCCATGCATGCGCAGTTATATCAAAAAACGGCGAAAAGCCGTGAAAAGTGGGCTCTTATAAAAAGTGCTTTTGCAAAAAATTGGATTACCTTACAATAATGTAAGTTCTCAGAAATGATTTATAATAAATGTCTCTAGAGAATGTATTTGTTAGATTTTTTATTTCATGTGCAAATAGTTTTTAATTTGAAGTCAAAGTTGACCAACTTCGAGCTTCAGCCAGACCTCGTACAAGTAGGATAAAGAATACAAATTAAACGGTCTTAATCTTATTAAAACATCTCTGTGATTGATAATTTGTTTGCAGTGACTAAGTTAGTCATTTAAGGGGGAACCTACGTCCGAAAAGTCTTTGTGTGAAATTTTCGAAACTTTGACATTTCTTTCCTGACCACTTGCTCTTAATTTTTAGGCATTAAAAACAATACCTTTATATGCTTATTTTTACACAGGAGCACGTGCAAAAACAGTGTGAAATGCTAAAAATAGATTATTTTCAGACATTATTGTTCTACCCCAAATCTGCGCTAAAAAGAACCAAAAATTCAAATCACATTCAAAATCAACAGGTATTTAATTTATATGACTTATATCTTTAAAATGAAGGCAAATTCATTGCAATTCATCTCGCATGAACAATTATAATGGAGCACAATGTAAGTATCACCCCGTTTTTCTTGTCGTATTTTTTAACATTCCGACATGCATAATAGGCAATATCTTAAAAAGTCTTTGTGTGAAAATGTTGTAATTCATATATTTTGAAAGAAATGATTCATATCTTTATTTTAACAAAGAAAAAAGTATACCTTTATGATAAAATAAACGAGAAATATGACGTTTTCTTTTATTTTCGTACTCTTGTGTCATATATATTGACCTTTCTGCACTAAAAAAGGTAGGTAAGCACTGATAAACATCTGAATATAAAACTATTTTGCGAAAAACGAGTATTTTGTTTTGATTAGAAACAATTTAAACAGATTAATTCTTTTCTTCTTCATTCCAATCATTCTGTTTCTCTCCCCCCCCCCATTTTCCCGTCAACAACCAAGCCTAGGAATGACTTTCTACAATAAAATCTACATGTTCTATAAATCAATAAGCAGATATAGGCACAAACACATTTCTTAATTTTTCTTAGTTTTGTCCAGAAAATACAATTAATGGTAAAGATAAAATTAATCATATTTCCCTGATTTAAGCCGCTTTCCTTGGTGAATCTTATATTATCTTTTTGCACTTTTAGATCAGCATATCTATCATCTAGGTATTTCTTCACAAATGAAATTGCTATGAATTATCAACCCAAAGGAAGAGAATTCTAATATCAACAAACTCCATAAATCAAATAAAACTGTTATTAATGATGAATTAATTTTTTTTTAATTGTGTACGTTATTGATTATTAACCATGTTATGCCTATATCACAGTTGCAAAAGTCAACAGGTAAAATCAAACGTTGCTATTGTGACGTCACATAACGCTGCTTTGACGTAGAACGACATAGGTCCCCCCTTAAGAACTACTTTTACTGATTTTAGAAGTGTTTTTGTAAGTAAGAGACGCTGGCAAATTTTCAGTTGCTCGAATTTCCTCTATCTTTCATTCCTATCACGTACGAATGAATTTAGCATGTTTAGAGCAGCAATGAGGAAGCACATTGTAAATACATCTTACCAATAATAAAAAAGTATAAATTGATGATTTAGTCATAAATAAGAGTCGATCCGGTGACAGTTACCTGAGAATCCATTCAGTTTCCACATTTCCTCTGTTGCTGAAGAGATCGTACATATTTGTTAGATTTTTGATTTTATTTGCAAAAAGAGAGATATTTACTTTCAAAGTTCAAGTTTTAAGTTAGATCAATTGCAGAGAAAATTTAACGTTTGGGAATATAATATGCATGATAAAAGGGAAAGATATGTAAAACTGAACAATATATATTGTAACTGTTAGATATTGACCGAATTTTACCCATTTATAATATTATTTCATCATATAATCCTGTACCACATCTAAATTGAGAGTGTGAGTTATCACCATCGTTATTTACCTTACTGTTATCACATATGAACATAATTATATTATCATGAAAACATTTTTAGAATATTTGAACAAATCACTCTTTTAAAATTACAGTAAAAAAATCTTCTCAAAATGCATGTACCTGTTAGTATCTCTGCTCCGCCGCGAAAATTATGCGTTTTATTTATAAAATAAATACGACCTAAGTGTCTTGAAAGTAAAATCTATAAACATCTTTATTGTAGGAATGGCATAAAATTTTAATCAAGGAGACAATAAATTAAGTAAAGAAATTAATTCTTACCGACTGTATTGAATCCGATGTCGTATATCCTAAATCACTATTTTTATTCAGGAATACGAAGCGATAAATAAGTTAATAAACACTAAATAATTTAATAAGTGCAATTATTTATTCAACAAAAATTGAAATACAGTCACAGTTTACTATATATAGCCATTATTCGGTTGTATTTGTGGAGAAAGCGAACGACAATCCATCGTTTGTTTACATCGGAAGCCATTTTGCCGCAATGCATGACGGAGCCAAAGACTTCCTTTTTGGAGTTCACGCCGTTTTTGGAGTTCGTCTAGACTGGTTACTATGAGCTCTTATTAAAAGAGAAAGCTTGGACTGTGCAAATGGATTCAAATGAAATTTATCTGCAGTGGCCTATGGTCTCATAATCCTTTGCAAAATGAATTCCACTGCAAACTACCTTCTCATGCTGAGAAGTTCTAGCAATGATCTGCTTCAAATTACTATTGTTCATTTTTATGGTAAATCGTATTAGACAA